ATAATTTGGTGGAGGATGATGCATTCTGAATTTCGTCTCGATCTCTGAAATTTAGGGGTTTTTTCGTAACGATAACGGAGCTAGACCAAAACCAAAAAAAAGGAGACTGCCCCCCCCTCCCCCAACAGCCTCTTCCCTCCCCATGGAAGGACTCTGCTTGTCCAGATGTGAAAATCAGTCTCGGTGCATAGATGAGCTGTTCATTATTGTCTACAAGTGCAAAAGGTCTCCAGAAGCGTTGAAACTGGTCGTCATCACCGTCTTGCTTTAGGATCAAATTAAAGTCTTTCTTTATCTTCTTTACCAGTCTTCTCTGAAAAACACTCACATACTCTGGTCGAGAAGCCATATTTAAAGCTGTCATGTATGACTTGCATTAGGAACCTTTTGCAGTGTCCACAGGTTGAACTGGTTGAACTGTTTTTACCAAAGCTCATGCGCCTTGAACAGGGTATTTCGAAGAAAAGTAACGAAATGTGCTAGAAATCGAGACAAAAAACGCTACTCCCAAGGGTTATTCTTGTTTTTTTTTTTCTTTTTTTACCTTCATAGCCTAATGCATGAAATGTCCTCTGATTACTCCATGGAGACAAGTTTCTGGATTGCAGGGACGCATTTATAATTTGTTAGAGATATCCATATTCCCATGGAATGTTCATGCCAAGCGAACCGTTTCTATCAGGTGTTAACATAAGTTGTGTCCGTTTTTTCCAAATGAAGAGGACATAATTTTAATAAAAAATTACAACAAATTAGTCAATAATGTATTCTCCTTCATTATTTACAACTTGTTGCCAAAGTTCTACAAGTTTTTCGATGCCTCTGCGATAAAAATCATTCGGTTTTGACTCGAAGAATTCGTCCAACCATGTCTGCAATTCGACGTTACTATTGAAGGAAAGAAAATTCGTTCGAAAGCGACCGGAAAAGGTGGAAATCCGACGGCGCGAGGTCTGGAGAATATGGAGGGTGCGGGAGGACTTCCCAACCAAGCGCTTGAATGGCATTTTTCGTGATGTTGGCGATATGAGGGCGGACATTATCGTGTTGCAGAAGAACACCATATTGCCGATCCGGCCTTTTTTGTTGAATTGCCGTGTTGAGCCGCTGCATTTGCAGAATGTATAGTTCCGCGTTGACTGTCTGGTTGCGTTCAAGTATCTCGTAGTGGATGACGCCTTGCCAATCCCACCAGACGCAAATCATCGTCTTGCGCGGATGCAAATCTTGTTTCGCTCTAGGCGTTGCTTGTTGACCATGGTTCACCCATTCTTTCCGTTGCTTCATATTCACATAAAGGCACCATTTTTCATCACCAGTAATGATGCGGTAAAGAAACCTTTGCTTGTGGCCATGCGTAGTTCGATGACGCGCGAGCAAACCAGCAGAAATTGTCGAACGCTGATTTTTGTTGTTTTCACTCAAAACATGTGGGACCCAAGCACCGAACTTCTGGACTTTTCCCATTGACTGAAGATGGCGGTATACGGTCATGTGACTGCAATCCATCTGCTCAGCCAATTCTACGGTGGTTTGACGGGGATCTTCATGAATAAGCTGGTTTAAACGGTCCTCATCGAATTCCACTGGTCGTCCGGAACGCTCCATGTCCTTCAGGTTGAAATTACCGTCTTTGAAACGCGAAAACCATCGACGAGCTGTCCTTTCATTCATAGCATCTTCACCGTACACTGCGCAAATATCGCGAGCAGCTTGAGCAGCTTTATTCCCTTGATTGAACGCGAACAGAAGGAGGTGTCGAAAGTGCTCACTTTTGTCTACTTGACATTCCATTTCGAAGACCTGTAATTAAATAAAATAATAAATGTAACTAAAGGCAAACACAATATCTTGTGGAGCAGAAAATTTTCTTTCAAATGACGTATAACCTTTGCCAATGTGTTTTACTTTTGGCACACATTTTTAAATTTGAAAAAAACGGACACTACTTATGTTAACACCCAATAGAATACTTATTAGCACAACCACCACATTTTTTATAATTGCCTTTTGCCCCAACAAGAATAGCCATATATAAAACAGAATAAATAAAACAAAATATAAGTTTCCAATGCCAAAGAATTTCAAGCAATTAATGAGACAAAAAATTGAAAATATGCCAATTCAGAAACATGAAAGATCACAGTTTTTTTTCTCATTTTTTATTTCTATTTATACTACTCTTGCTGTGACATCCACATGATGGGTGGTCATTTCTCTTATATATTCGGCAGATTTCGTACCAGTACAGCCTTCCGGCTAAAGCTCACCTGTTGCTGGCGAAAAATTATCCTGCTTTCTGCACTCTCCCCAGTCATGGTGTTGCACAGGAAGAGAAAACGCGGTGTTGAAAAAGTTTGGTCTGTAATTTACTGCGTGAGAGCGATTCCGACTTTGAATACGAGTCGAGTAATTCTGAATGAGTCTTCAAGTATGGAATTTGATTCTTCAAGAGATGTAAGTGAACATTCAGAAAATAATTCTGGTGAGTCCAGTGACAGCAATGATTGGTGTGGTGACACAGCACTGGAGATGGCAGTTCTGGCAGTTGCAAAGTGGCTTTACACATGAAGAACTGCCTCCAGGAATACCACAAAACCTTGTAGAACCACTAAGCTATGAGCTAAAGTACACACAAAATAAGCCAATATGTCAAGTAAAGCTTTCTTTGTGAAATAAGTCTATTAGAAAATATAAAATATAATCAGAAAATTCGGTGTATCGGGTGTGCACAGATTCATTTTCTGGTGTGTTCAAAGGGTTAAAGCAAAGAAACTCAAAAGCAGGCTTGCCAAAATTGAAATAATCAGTCATATATTGCAAGGCTCACCTGTCTCACACGCTCTTCTCCAGTTGTCTGTGGAGCCTGTTCGAGAACTTCCCGCAGGGGCAGGACGTGGCAATATCGCTCGTAGGGAGTGAGATAGTGCCTCCTCTCTGACCTCTTTTGCCTCAAGGGCCCAATCTGCAGGTCAAAAATAAGGTTGAACGAAAAACTGGCGGAAACGAGAACACAAGTATGCTCGGTCATACCTGACTCCCAAAATGTATTGTGGGTTCCTTGAGCTTGATGGTGAGAGGTTTGACCTTTACTGGTTTGATAAAGATGGTGCCACCTTCAGAAAATTCCATGAGGCATGGTCCATCCACAGGGTCCTTTGACAAGTCATGCGGGCAATACATTTCGTTATTCATGTCCAGTAACGGACGAGACTCGGTCACCTGCAGATCCTCATCCTTATCCACCTGCACAGAGCATGGGACACTTCACAGAATGGAATTTCAAGAAATGCAAAGAACTCCTCGAGCGTGATTCTCACGGTGACGAGCGACTGCTCCCTGGCTTTGAGAATGATGTGATGCAGAGTGAGAAGGTGGGAGCGGACCAAAGGCGGAATGGGATTGCAACATGCCAAGATTCCCTGCATTTCTCTGGGTAGTGTTTCTGAAATTCCAAGCAGCATGTGGTTCGGCAGCACATACCTGCAAAAATGGGAAATGCCCATCACAGCAGTCGGTAGACGGGACAGGATTGCAAAGGAAGCCCAACTCACCCAATGCTTTCGTCTTCTTCCCGGGCGACCTTATCTCTCCATCTGAAAAGCTCCTGGAGGGCATACAGCTGTCTGGCGTTGAAGAACTTCCGGCTGCGCTTGTACAACTCCATGTATGATGTCTCGGCAAACTTGGGCTTTCTGTACACCTGTGATTCCACCAAATTATTGCAAATAAAAGTGAACTGAACATTTGTGTAAATAAATGAGAAGCTCACCGTAAGGCAGACGTCACGACTCTGGGAAATGACAGAATGGATCAGATTCTTCTGCGCATTCCCTTTCTGTAGGAGTTCATTTTTCATTTGGTCATAGACATTCAGTAGGTAATGAGTATCTTCTCTTGCATATTTCACCATTGGATCAGGAAGGGGACTAAAGAAAAATTTCAATGCATTAATGCCTACATATTCACCCCACTTCAAATCAGAAAGCGACCACTTGACCCACCGTATTCTCCAATCGGCCAACTGGAAGTGCTTGTTTGGATCTACTTTGCAGTACATGTTGAGAAGAAATGCCAAGGACTTTTGCTGGAGTCCGAGGATCGTGGCAGCCACAAACGTGTCGAACATGTTCACGACGTACACTCCGAGATCCCGCTGGAGCCAAATGATGTCCTGGTTTGCTCCATGAAATACCTAAAATATCACAATTTTAAATAACATGAAGCACCTGGGTAATGATATAAAAAAAGACAGAATATAAAAACCTTACCTTGACAATCTTGGGGTGAGTGAACACTTCATTTAAGCACTGAAGGTCATAGCGAAGAGCCAGGGCATCAATGAGGTAGTCCTTGGTACGTGTCGATATTTGAATCAGGCATGTCAAGCCTTGGAATGTGCGATATGAGTGATGCTAGTTGAAAAAATAATAATTAATTGCAGCTGGTCTGGTTTTAATGTAGACAATTTCAACAATTGTAAATATCTCAGCCTTAACCCTTACTTGGCCAAGGTCATTTCCATCAAATCAATGGCCAGGGAAGGGAGGTTGTTTGGATCCACAACAAGAAGAGCATATCTTTACAAAATACATGCTACCCATCCATAATATGTTAAAATAGCTTCCAAATAACAATAAGAATTTCTTTCAGAGTTTCCCTCAATAATTGGGTGCACAAAAACAGCTTGATTATTAGTAGCTGATAAAAAAAACCCAACTGCTAAGTAAGGGTTAAAAAAGACAGAGGTTTAAGTTCCTCATTTACATTGATAAGTAATTGGGCCTTGAAACACCAGAAAAAACACAGAAGAGCTGAATACTGGAGCCAATGCTTCGGAAAGGATTCATCAGCTCACCTCAACATCAACAGCAATTTCGGTGCATTTTCGGAGTTCCTCGATGAGTTGGGGGAGCTGAGATGCCTCATCGAGGAGTTCGTACGGCGTCTCCTCCAGATCCGGGGGACTCTGAGGTGTGACGCTCTCCAACTGTTTGGGAGTCGGTTGGAACCTCTCCAATTCCCACTCGTACGGGTGATCGTACCTGCAGGTCAGAGGTACCGAAATTCAGCTGTGGCAACCACATGCTCAATCTCTCAAATGAGCTCCAACAAGGACTTACACATCTTCGCCATCAATTATTTGAGGAATCAAGGCAAGTGGCTTTAAGGAATTGGGTTTGTCCTTCAGGATGGGCACAAAAGGACGCCCAGAATTGTCGATCTTCTCCTTGAAGCTGAGCTGAGGGCGTATGATGTTCTTGGCAGCCAGGAGCCTAAAAACTGATGGACTCTTTCCCTCTCCAGCCTTAATGAATCCAAGGAAAGAAGGAAATTAAAATTTAAACTATACTGGCAAGGCCTAACATATTTATAACACATTTTGCACCATATACCCAAAATTTGGAGTGAAACAGGTTTTATTGATCACTATTTTCAAGCTAGCCTCATCTCGCACATATTACATTACTCATGAATGTATTGATGTTGAAAATGCCACAGGATACAACAGGACAGACCTTTTCCTGGTTCCATGGTGCTTTTGAAGGGGTTTTGTCAGTTGTGTTCACAGGAAGCGACAGCAACACCGTGTCGGGAGCCTTCCGGATCCCATTTGCTTCGTCCAGGTTGTTGTTCTGTGAATACGGCAATACGGAATGTCAGGTGAGAAACCAAGAATGGCACCGAGAGACAAAGTTGGAGCCGACTCACAATTCTTTCCAGAGACGTATCGTTTCCGTCCACCACGATGTCGAATTGTTCCTCGATGTCCTTTTTCCACATGTTCGGTTTCCCCGTACCCTGCTGCTCCATCAACTTCATGATCCTAGAACGACGAAATGCAATCGGTCAAGTTCTCCAAAGTTCCTACTTTTTCTAATGTTAGGCCTAGGCCATCGTGGAAGCCACCCGGAACACACAGGTCGAGGACTCTCTTCTTCTCGGAGGCGACGACCTTTCGAACCCCGACGAAGCTCGAGTAGTAGGTCCACTCTTGTCCGGGGCTGGGAATGCCTCTGGCATCCTTCGTCAACGTCATCAGCTTCAAAAATGCATCCTGAAATGAGGCAATTTGAAGATTTAATTATAGAATTTTGGAGAGAAGAACTTTCCCAAGTGCAATTACATAAACATCAGCAATGACAGTTGCAAGGAAAAAAATGGTGAGGTGTTTCTGCAATACACACGGCCGTGGCATCCCAGATCGGCTTAAACGTATGGACCGGTGAGGAAAAATCCCTGAGGAAAGTCAGCACCCAAGAAGTCTAATATGGATGATGCCAATAGGATGTTCAAAATTAGCAAGATTTCAATACACTAAAACCTATGAGCTGCCGTTCCACATCTATTGTTAAATACTCCTTCAACAAAAAAAGTCCCTAATAAGGAGCATGAATATATGCACAAGACACCTAGCAGTGCGGTCGAATACAAGAGCTAACCAAAATCTAAAAAGTCCTACAATAACAGGCAAAACTCAAACCAGGATTTGCAAAATATTATCGGAACTCCTATGTAAAGTTACTTCACTGAATCAGAACATCCAAGAATGGAATGCCAGCCCCAGTTTGAAGAGATAAAGAAGCAAAAGTAGATGAAACTACAAAGGAAATGGAGAAGCTTCAACAGGGAAAGTAGAATTTATAGTAAAGGACAGAATATGCTAGAGAGAAGGTTTCAAGATCCCAATAGATTTTCTTCCAACAAACGAGTGATACTGAAAAGAGCATTTTTTAATGGATGAGCAGCACCTCCGATTCACTGTGAAGCTGGCTGACTGGAGGAGAATGATCCAAGGGGCACTTAAACATGATGAGGAAAGCAAAGCTGTGGCTAATTTCAACATGCACCTCATGCCAGAAAACTCATCTTTAATGCCAGAAATGGCTTATTGTCAAAGAGACCATGACTGGGAATTTGCATGGAATGACAAAGGACACACTGTCATGTGGAAAGTGCATGATCCAAAATCAATGGTATGGAGTACTTGTCAAAAACAATTGCAATGAGGCCCACTCCAAATAAATCTTCACTGTCCACTTAAGTTCGAAATATCCAGAGGATATCCTCAAGCTTCATGTTATTTCCTCTGGTGTCCCTTGCATGGCATCAAAACAAGCAACATGATTCAACCATTATGGCATACCTGTTCCAAAATGTGAATGCCATTGGTCTCCATGCCAAACACTGGAATCTATGTAGCCTAAAAATACCACGATGATCTCGTAACTCTTTTGCAAACTCTTACTCACGAGCCATACGAGATCTTACGAGCGATGACACGGCCGGATGAGACGGCATTTTCTCCGTTTTAACGGCTGTGATAGTTCATTTTTATTCTGATGCAATGCAAAAAGATGAGGCCTGATGATGTATGCTAGTTAATCTTTTGTTTACAGTAGAACAATATAATTTGAGACTCCATAAGGGGCTTGAAAATAACCTTGCATGCTAAGCACGGCAAATTACTCGCATCACATGCAGCCGAGTCAGCATCTGCTGAATGCAGTGGGTCTCCCATTGTGGGCCATGAGCTTTTTGCATCAGCGGATAATGGTGATTCTGAGAACAGTTACAATTTGTGTCACATGAGGCCCTTTCCCAGGTCAGGCACATGTTATATTGACAATTTCAATTTTTGAGGCTTTCTACAATAAGAATGAAATACTAACTTTACAAAAGCTGTCCGTATCGTTCTTCTCCTCCGACGGCTTGTCAGACGCGGATTTCCCTGCTTCTGAATCCATCGATCGAATCGACACCGCCACTGGGGAGTTCCTTGTCCTTTAGTCCTTGGTTCACTACCGACTCGGTGGGAGGAAACACTTTCGATGGCGGTGTTCTTGCTCAACATGGGCCACCGACACTTTTCACATGCTTCAAAATACGATTCACAACGGCCAAACGTCACCTGCGAAAATGAAGGAAACACCTGAGGAAAATTGCACGATCTGAAGGAAACTCACGCTATCTTCTGCCTCGCCAAGCCACCGTGCAGACGACAGCGGCCGAATCTTCTGCAATCTGCACGTTGCTGCAGTGATGTCCGCCGTCGAATCAGATGTCATCGTCTTCATTGATGCAATTCCGCATGTCATCTTCTGATATGACTATCCCCTAATACAGGAAGTAATCTGCAAAATGTTTTGCTTTCGCATAGTTCAGGAATGCTTAAGATTCTTAAAAAGCCCATGATGGCTCGTCTTCCAAGACAATTTTGCTTGGAAGGAAAAAAGATCGGACAACCGTGACAAAATTATTATGGCCGCGCTCGTCACCATTAGCACGTTGCATGCACGTGGGCGAGGGTTGCCGCCTCGCCGCAGACGTTTCATGTGATTCAGTTTTTCTCGAACTGAATTTAGAGGGCTCCGTCGCGACGAGGGCATGCTGATTTCGGCGTTGAGGCGGTCGCTCCCTTGGAAAGGGGAGTTTAGAGGGCGATGGTTAAGTTCTGCTGCTGGGGAATATCCTGTCGAGTTAGGCCATGGGATACACCCTTCTGCAGTGAGTGTTTTATGCATTGTGCTTTTGCTAATTTGTTTTCACGTTACAAGGCTAATTGGCAGCAACAAGGGCTAGTAGTAAGCTAGCTGGTGAAGTGACTCTCATGAGCACAAGGGGCCTTGCAATTGTGTAACTCATCAACATTTGGGAGAATAATGTTATATCTCTAAAAAAAAAAAAAAAAATAGGAAGTTCGTGACTTCATTGATCCAAGTCTGAAGAAAAAATGGGAGGAGAAATGGGCCACAGCAGTTCGCACAGTCAACCCGACACCCACGGAAGACGGGAGACCTTCCCGCTACATCCTCTCCATGTTCCCTTATCCGTCGGGGAACCTTCACATCGGGCACGTTCGAGTGTATTCCCTTGGCGATACTCTGGCTCGATTCTGGAGGCATCGAGGATTCAAGGTGAGCGTTCATCTGCAAACAATATTTTTATTTTTTCATCTCTTCCCTTGATCATAATGGATGCATTGAGCCCATTGGAATCTGGTATTTTTAGCTCAGTCTCATCAGTTTACTCTTTGCATAGGACAGGTGATCCATCCGATCGGTTGGGATGCCTTCGGACTACCGGCCGAAAATGCCGCCATCGAGAGGGGCGTCGATCCCAGGACGTGGACCGAGGAGAACGTCGCTCAGATGAGGAAAGAACTCCAGGATTTGGGCTTTGCCTTCGATTGGAACCGGGAATTTTCGACCTGCGACCCTGCTTACTACAGATGGACTCAGTTCATTTTTCTGAAACTTTTTGAAGCTGGTCTTGCCTATCAGGGACATGTGAGTGAAGGAGCTATAATTATAACTGTTCCTCTGTCAAGTATATTTATGTCAGTTTTATACTAATCTGCTTTATCTCTGTCGGTTCTATTTTGTCCACTTAGTTGGTTTTCTTTCCAGAGAATGTTGGAAATCTACTGAAGTTTCTGATGTGTTTCACAACAGGCAGAGGTGAATTGGGATCCGGTGGACGAGACCGTCCTGGCGGACGAGCAGGTGGACGACGACGGCTGCTCCTGGCGCTCGGGTGCCAAAGTCCAGAGACGCCTCCTGAAGCAATGGTTCCTCCGTGCGACCGCTTTCTCCGATTCTCTTTATTCTGGGCTGCAGGACGATTCTCTTCAGGTAGGAATGCTGGATCGTCGATTCCATTCGCTCAACGTCGAGCGATTTTACTCAATCTAACCTCTTCTGTTTCTCTGTGAAGGGATGGAGGGACATAAAAGCCATGCAAGAGCACTGGATCGGGAAGCCAAACGCGCTCCATTTTCACATGGTCGTCGTCAAGGCCGATCGGGTCGAAGTGGGAAACGTCACAGCTTGGAGTTTGATGTGAGGGGCCTCTGTTTTGGTTTCATTTTATGTGTAATTGACCTTATTAAATCTGGTTTTCCATCATCGATTCTTCACTCAGTCCACAGCATCTGGCCAATCCTGCCGTGTTGTGCCTGAAACCGGGTCACTTCTTGATCCAACGGCATGGGAATCCTCGAGAGGCGGTTCAGGATTTGTGGGCTGTGAACCCTCTGACTGGCGACAGAGTGCCTATTGTTGTGCTGAAGGATGGTGAGCATGGCATTCAGTATCCAGCAAAGACAGATTCGAGGCTGTTGCATCCGCAGCTCCTCTCAGAAGAGGAAGAGGTCCTCTCAAATTATTTAACGACCGTCCTCAGATGGACATCTACGGGTGGGCTTTCTTGCCTCGTTGCTGTTATCGTGCAGGCCTGCCCTCTTCAAAGCAAGGTGCATTTTGGTTCTCAGCAGGAGAGTCAAGGGAGATGAGCATCGATGATGTAATAAGGACTTTGAAAGCTAAAGGAAGTGGGGGTTACTGGTCATCTCCACACCTCAGGGACTGGTTGATTTCCAGGCAGAGATATTGGGGGACTCCCATTCCCATCGTCCACTGCCCCGATTGCGGAGCGGTCCCGGTTCCTCCGTCGCAGCTTCCCGTCGCCCTCCCGGATCAGGGGACCATCCGAGGGAAACCTCTGCCTCTGTCCCAGTTCCAAGATTGGGTGAATGTTTCCTGCCCGAAGTAAGGATTCGTTGGCCTGTTTCTCTGTTGGCCTGTAAAAATAAGTCACATTTGCTGGACATTTTATGCTGCAAAATCTTGTGTTCCTCATCTTAAAGTCCATTCTGTACTATTGACCTGAAAGACAATAGTAAACTATATCGTTAGGTCTCACATGTCACTAGGTGTAACCGCGCCAGCCGACGAGAAACCGACACGATGGACACCTTCATGGACTCCTCTTGGTACTACCTCCGATTCTTGGATCCAAGCAATTCCCACCAAGCCTTCAATATAGATGCAGTCCGTCCCCATCTTCCAGTTTATTTATACATTGGGGGGAAGGAACATGGTTGGTTTCTCTCCCCAGACAATCCAGACTGAAGTTGTCACTTCTGATCAGGGAAGTAAAAGCAAAATTCATCTTCTGTAGGTGTACTCCATCTCTATTATGCAAGATTCATCCAGCACTTCTTGGAATCTCTGGGGATGGTGCCGTGCCGAGAGCCGTTCCGGCACCTGTGCGTCATCGGTCAGGTCATGGCAGAGACCTTCAGGGTCGAGACCTCTGGGAAGTACCTCCCTGCATCGCAAGTGAACCGGAGTATGGGCCTTCCCTCCCGAGTCTTTTCTTTTCGTACAAAGTCGGTCTCTGATATCCTGTCGTATTCACAGCCGAGACTGGAGCCACGGAAAAGGAAACGGGTCTGCCGGTAGAGGTCGGATGGGAGAAGATGTCCAAGTCCCGTCGCAACGGCGTCTCTCCGTCCGCGCTGCTGGAGGACGTCGGAAGGGATACCCTCCGTCTGCTGGTCATGGACGATGCCGCCCCTCGCTCGGAGCGGAAGTTCTCTCTGCACAGTGGGTCTGCGTTCTTGGTTTCGCTGAGAAAGTTGAGATGTTTGTGCAATGACTGCTTTTTCCGATTTCTCTGATGATTTTGAGTTGTGGATCTTTTTTATTTAACTTTGCTGTGATATACTATTGTAAATTTCTTACAAAAAAGAATCCCATCAGCTTTGCCAGGATTGGAACGATGGCAGAAGCGTCTCTGGCAGACGGTCACCGATCTCGTCGCCGTTCGGAGTTCCGAATCCGAGGCGAGTCCGTCCCGGATCCCGGACGAGGAGTTCCGGAGGCACGAGAGGGAGATGAGGGAATCGAGGAACTTTCACGTGGGCGTCGTCACTTACGAGATGGAGAGCACCCTCAAGGTCTCGGTCGTCATCCGACGCCTCGTGACCTTCACCAAACGCCTTCGGGTACCTTGCGTGCCGTTTCTCCGATCGCGTCGTTCGTCGCGTGAGCCCCCCGTGCAGATCGAGTGTGTGTCGCGCAGGGTCGTCCGTCCGAGGTGATGCAGAGGAGTGAAGAGTTTGAGAAGGCCCTGGGGACTCTCCTGGTTCTAGCCTCCCCTCTCGTTCCACACCTCTCTTGTGAACTGTGGGAAATGATGTCTTCGCTTCCCCCACGACACACCTCATCCCACTTTTCTTGGGTCGGCCATTCAGTTTTTTTTTTTTCGGTGCTCTTCAGAGTCGGTAATTGATGCCTCGAATGCCATCTTGCAGGATCGGACCGTATTGGAGCAACGGTGGCCGACGGTCGACGGCGACTACAAGGTCGGCCTCACGATCAAGGTTTGCCCTCGTTCCCGACCGATCCTCCCTCCCCGCCTCCTTCGGAGGTCCTGAAACCTCTCCACCCGCCGCAGGTGAACGAGTCGAACCGGGGAACCTTGGAGTACGCTGCAAAGGATCTGGAGGACCTGTCGGCGGACGACGCCCTCGAGGCCGCCCTGACCCTCCCCGGCGTCCAGAAATCCACGGCTGGAAAGACCATCACGAAAACCCGCTACAGATTCTTCCCCGGCTTCAAAGCCGTGCTCCACATCTCCGCCTCTTCGTAACTCCTCGTCCGATTCCTCGATCCTCGCCGTGTCTATGCGATGAAACATTTTTCCCAAAATTTGGTGCATTCATTTTTCGCCATTCGGGGCGGGAAAGGATCTCGGTGAGGAAAACGGTCGCCGCTATCCTGGTTGGACCGGGAAAATCGCGAAAATCGGCGGAACAAGTCCCAAGTGGTTCTAACAATGAAAAAAAAAAATCAAAACAAATTTAATAATCCCAGCTTGAAATGAAAATTTGATCGATTTGCAACTTAACGCCTGAAGCAGCGATATTTATCATAATTTTTTCCCATTTCCGTTCAAGTGCCATGATCATTAGATGAGCAATTGAAAGCGCTTGAAAAGTGAAACCGTAATGCTCTACGTGGCTCAATCAGTCGGAATTTTTTTTTTTTTTTCCTCCCGCACGCAGCAGCGAACGTTCGCGCCAAACCTGAAAATCGCGAGCGAAATTCGGCCGAAAATGCCAATGTGCAAAAAAAAAAAAAAAAA